TCATCTTGAACGTCGTAATCCCTAGGCCATAATGAATTCACCCTACCCACTAGAAATCTATTATACTAAAAAAGACAAAAAATTGTTTAGCTCTTGAGTTTTATCTACCACCTTTACAAAAGTGGCTAGTTTCGAAATATATCTCATAAATCCGACGGGCCAACAAAATCCCTATGATACATCTTGTCAGTGAAATAAGTGGAAAAGAGTCTCTTAAGATAAGTCAGTTTTTGCGAAGAAATTATTTAGCAATGATGGTACCTGCTGTAGGCACACTTCATCGGTAAAAGCAGCGCACGGTACTTGTTGTTCAAATGAAAATGGTGTTGGCCAAACACCAGGTTCTTGTGTTCCAGGGATTTGTGTCTGCAAGTAAAATCAGTTTTTTTTTTAACAAAAAAAGGATTCCCCACATTCCAAAGAAGGTCATAGCATAATGGAAGATACCACTGTTGTTGTGCGCAGAAGGTTGAAGATACGAATCCGCTAGTGCGACAGTCAGTCTCTCCACGGCCCACTCATTCGTTTTGATGGTAAATTGGTAGCAGGGAATGCCAGAAAGTTTCAGAAAAGTGGATGATCATCGTTTTTAGAGATGGTGCAGATTTTATTGCAAAAGTAACTGCCAACTTAGCCCAGTTAGATGGACCTGTGCTCGCTGCACTTAACAGCATTACTAACATTGGCCCGCACACTATTCAACGAGGCGATGCTATTAATTTTAATAAATATGCAAATTAAACTACATTGTTATGCTGCCAGAAGTATCGAAAAATTTGCATTATTGAGGGCTATAAAACTGGTGAAATGGTGAAAAGAAATCAGTAATTTCAAGCTGGCGGAGTGATGCGGTTGGTTCATCGCGCTTTTGCTCAGTGACTATCAGCTCGCCAAGTTTAGTGCTGCTGGTGAAAACGGTGATGCTGGTGTGGAGGAAGATGCAGAAAGTCAAGAAAACCGGAGGAGCCCCGAAGGAGGAACTGAAGGAAGCTTTACAACGAAATCACGGCGACGAATCCTGGGAGGTGCTTCACCTCCAAAGATGCGAGGAATCCGGAAGGACACTTCATCTCGAAGGTCGTGAGTAGACTGGAATTATAGCGAAATTACGAAAAGGAATCTGAGGGACGCTTCATAGCAAAGTCGTGAGGAGCCCGGAGAGATTCTTGTAGCCAAATACAAAAGAAACCTGGTATGTGCTACGTGAAGAGAAAATGTAAAGAATAACATCGTGAGAAAACGCAGCATGGAAGAACATGGAGGAAGAATCCCTAACACAGAAGGTGCAGAAACGCAGAAAAGAAATAAACTGTCATGAGTTGTCCCGGATTTTAGCTGTTGCTTCAGACGGAAAATTTTAAAAATGCGACGAGTTAAGCCAAAGATGAATGATTCGGTTGTTTCAGACTGAGAGCTTGGACGTTTTTTCAAAGGTCTGCTGGATGATGAAATTTCGCTGTTGAGCATTTCTGGAGATCGGTGCATAATCGCAAAAGATATTACGCAAAAGGCTTTCAAAGAAAAAAATATCTTAAAATGATTGATCTAAGCTTTGATCAAGAAGTCCAAAACGTCAAATGTATGCTGATCTGATCGATTTGAAGCCTGGTCCATGAAGCCAAAGAACATATTTGGAAGAACCTCCTGAATTGGCCGATCGGAAGCATGATAGATGAAGCCTAAAAAGTCAGATAGAAAGGTTTCCTGAACTGGTCAGTCTGAAGCTCGATCCATGAAGCCGAAGAAACCAAGTTAAAAAGTTTCTTGAAGTGGTCGGGCTGGAGTTCAACCGATGAAGCTGGAAAGTCAAGGCGAAGTGCTCAGCTCGATTCGAAGCCTGGCGGATGAAGCCAAAGAAACGGTTTCGGAAAATCTCCTGAACTGGTCAATTTGGAATTAAGTGGATGAGACCAAAAAATTCAAGTAAAAGATCTCCTGAGCTGGCCGATTCGAAGCCTGGTGGATGAAGCCAAAGAAACCATTCCGAAAAATCTCCTGAAGTGGTCAGTCTGAAGCCTGATCCATGAAGATATAAAGAAGTCAATTCGAAAGATCTCCTGAACTGGTCGATTTAAAGTCTAATCCATTAAGACAAATCCATTGCGTGTTAGGATATTGCTTTTCAATCTAAAATTGCAAGTTGTTCTCATTGCTGAATTCGATAT